CCACAATAACAACACCCCCACGCTGGAGTTTTATCAGAAATGTTATCATTATGCCCCGGGAAATTAAGTGTCCATTTGTTGGTAAACTGGCTTAAGTTAATGACTTCATAAAACAAATCCTCACAACAGCGAGTGGCCATTTTGTTTAAATACTGCCAAGTCCACCAGGGAACATTGTAACATTGGGACTTAACGAGAAATTAATCAGTGAAAAAAGTGTGAATGTACTCGGAGAAGAATTGTTTCATATCTACTGAAATAAGTAAATTATTATTGCAGTAATATCAGTAATTAAAAAACATGGTTTCCCTGTCCAACAAAGAGAATTGTTAATCTCCCAAGTTTAAATTTAACACAGGTTGCCATGCGGATGTTTATCAAGGTAGGTAGGTAGATAGGTTATCTACCTACCTTGGGTGTTTATATCTCGTAGCAGTTTCAGATGAAATGTTTGCCCAACATATTGTACCGCGCACCAGGCAGTGCGCTGAGATTCAGTGGGGTGCATGGAGCAAATCAACGAATATGAAAAAAAAAGTGGAAAATACAAACCAATACACAGAAACTAAAGATCATACACATTGCCAACATAAACCCAGCACCAATCACAGTCAACAACGTACCTATACAATACTCCAACGAAGGCAAAATTCTGGGACTCACAATAGCAAGAACAGGCATAGCAAAACACCTAACACAACGCGAAAAGCTTGCCCAATCACAACTCACAAAACTACGAAGATTTAGCAAAATGGGCACCAAAATTCAACTACACCTATTTAAAGCACTTGTCCGCCCCCACCTGGAGTATCCACCAATACCACTCAGCACGATCAGCAAAACCAGACAACTTAAACTTCTATCAGTACAAAACAAAGCTATCCGTAGAACACCAAAGCAACTCCCCCATACACCACCAAAATACAAGAACTTCACGAATTATACAATATCGAACCAGTGAACACACGTACACACAGCCAAGCCCGGAGAGTATAGAGCAAACTTGAAGAGTTGGAGGACCCAATATTCTCCCAGTTAAAAGAAGTAACTACTAAAACACACAGCTGGTGGCCCAAGAGCCTCCATGCTAACATAGAAGAACAAGACCCACTTTACACATATATGTGAACAAATAACATCACCATCTAACAAACAAAAATTAACACCCATTACACTAATGAATGCCTAGCTAGCTCCCCCCCCCCTCCACCTGCCTCCCTTGAGCGGGCAGACGTCTGCTGTGTGTGGCCACCACCCAAACATATCAACTCGTCTCAGGTAGGTGGACAGCCCACCTGCTATCACCCCCTACTACTTTACTTCCCGTTTCTATGCTTTCCTTCTCTCTCTCCTCTCCTCTCCTCTCCTAGGGCAAAGACATTTGCCAATTTACTTCATTGTCATCATCATCAGCCTCCTCCTACCCAATATATTGGATTGGAATTTATTTTTTAATTTTCAATCAGGACACTTGACTTACTAAGACGTTTGTATGTCTTTAAATTTAGACCCCCATTACCTTAAGTGTCAACACATTTATATCATATCGTACGTTTGGCAGCTGAGCGGCAGCTGCCAAACGTACGACGCGGATTCCCCGTACGTTTAGTACAACTTAAATTATATTATATCAATACAATTTAGTGGGTGTTACCACTGCGTGGAGGTCGAATGTAATGCTACTAATTTAAACAACTCTATAATAATACTGGTAATTTATTTTCCTTTATCTATAGCTTATAATATTTCTGGCTTCACTGCATGTTCACTTCCAACAACTCAATTAATTAGTTGCAATATTATACATCAAAGCCTACTTATACCACTTATATAGCCCAATATATTGGGCAGACGGAGGCCAGCTATGCACGCCAAGGAATCTCAAAGCGAACTGCCTGGTGCGCGGTACGATATGTTGGGCAAACATTTCATCTCCACTCGCATTTCTTCTGAAACTTTTAGTTTAACAAATTTATTGGCAGAGCTTGGAGTACAGTTTGCCTATTCTGAGTAATTCAGTCAGGTCTTGACACTGAGGGTGGTATCACTTCTCACTGCCACGCAGGACAGAGAAATACATCATATTCATTAACAGCTATAAATGTATAGAGGTCAGATTCGTATGGGTAATGTCACTGTTCACTGCCGTGAAGGACAGAGGTTCGTACACAAAGAGATGCATCATATTCATTGACAGTACATATACATATATGTACACACACACATATACATACATATACACATATACATGAAGGAATTACTACACCACGTCAAGCCCCTCATAACACCACCTGTGAGGGAACTAGTACTCCACGTGATGCCCCTCATAACGCCATCTGTGAGGGAGTTACTACACTTTGTGTCTGTTGTTCAACACCTCAGCTCACATGATCTACGTGTGTAAACATTAATCTGTATGTTCCTTCACCTTTCTCTAATGAAGGCTTTGTTAAACCACCAATGTAGATGTAATAAGTCATTTATGTCCAATGTATATTTTCAGCCTTCGGGCTCAAACTTTTCAATAAACCTTTTATTATTATTTATTTATTTATACACATATACATGTACATATATATATATATACACATATGCTCCACATTTACGTCGGTCAGATTCATGTGGGTAATGTCACTCTTCACTGCTATACAGGACAGAGGTTCGTACACAAAGAATGCATCATATTCATTGTTCTATATATATTCAGTTATGTGGGTAATGCAGGTTCACTGCCATGCAGGACAGAGGTTCGAAACTGCTACAACGGCGACAGCAGTTGATTGTTTTTCAAAGTCTTTGGTTGTTTTCGTTTACTGGAGTTGCGAATGGCTCCATCGAATAAAAACAAACCATCATTGAATTGGCTCTTTTTTTCTACTAACATCATACCTGCACCTTTGGCGTTCCGGTGAATTAGAAAAAATATATCACTGACCTACGGACTATGGTTTTAGTAGAAACGAACCATTGAGTATTAACTGTATTATCCAAATCTAAACTTAAAACAGGTACAGCGATAGTGTCAATGTTTAGTGATCTGCTCCAACTAAAAACAGATAATTCAGTCACTTCAGTGATTCATTAATTGGAGGGCCAATGGGGTGTAGGAGAAAATTGGTGCTTTCATTCGTTGGAGCTGCTCTGTTCCAACGCCAAAGAATAGAATAAACCCCAGTGGCTGTGACGTAAATACCTAAATGGTACTGGGGGAAAGGGGGACACATAGAACGGCAGCTAAACAGTTGGGTCTGGGCACCGGTTACACTCCAATAATCATGAAGATCATCACATCGTTGTAGAACCAACCTTATATTAACGGCCGTTAACATTACTTCCTACATGGCAGACCAAAAATGACGTGTAATAATCTACAGTAGTTTATTTTGTTTCCATATATTGATGTAACAGGTTAGAATAGGTTAGGTTAAGGACAATCACATTAAAGAAATTCCAGTGATACTGACCTAAGCTAGGATTTATAACCACTAGCCTCTTTTATATTTCAGAGCCTAAATATTTTTTTGTATGATATTTAGTACTTTCTACTAGTTTCTCCTAAGTACACGGTAGCTTACATGGAATATTTCCGAAATTAGAACGTAAAACTACGTCAGATTAATATGCTTTTATTAAAACAAAATTACAGTTCATCAAACCGAAAAGATCCATTATGACAAATATTAACAAATTTTTACGTGATCAGATTCAGATTTGTCCCACGCAGTGCCGAGGGCTAGTTTATTGGGCACCATTTTACATCCCTATTTAGTACAATAAGTATAGGAGGTGGAGGGTCGCTCGCCATCGATACTTACGCAACTACAGTACAGTATATCACCACACCTGTCGCCTCAAAGCGGATGCAAGGAGTCTAACGCCCGAGTTTTAATCACCCTCTTCCGTTGACGGGGTCGTCGTGTTTATAACCAGTTAAAGTTGAAAGAGTATCTGACTATCAAGGTGCTTGCAGGAGGTGTGTCTGTAAAATGAACTAATCCCATTTTATAAGTTAATTTTACCGCACACCTCCTGTCGGCTGCTACCAGATGCGGTATCCTAGGTGACTCAATTTTTTTTTTAAAACTGGTTGTAAACATGACCCTCCCCCCCAGTCAACTAAAGAGTG